TGACCTAGCACATAATGAAGGAAGAAACATATTTAATATGCTCATTAGTGGTATTTATTAGGAGACTTATGCCAGGAAGGAATGATCATTCAGAAACAACATTTTCATCAGGCAAAGTACCCCCTAGAGAGCCTTATTGTCCCCAGGAAGTCCAAACATGAGCCATGTTAACATCTGAACAATGGTATTTCTAAATAAAGTAATTAACAGGCATATGTGTCCTGATGATCTAGACATCAAAGGACAAAAATTTCACATCAAAATCAAACAATAAAAACATCAAATAAGAAAGGGCAGCCACTGTTGTTCTAGTAAATCCGGTCTGATGCATTTTTAAAGTGTAGTTATAAAAACTGTTATACTGAGTCAATATTTGTTTTTTCTCAATGATTTCCATTTCAGATTTTCTGTTTACAAGTCAGAGATGATTTTTCTCCATTTTTATGTTCCACGATCAGCCTGGGATTTGGAAACCAAACTGTATCCTCACCGTCTCCTCTCCTGGCCATTGATAAAGATCTGTAATTCCAATGAGGCCAAAGATTTTCTTGATGATGTCAAGAGGCAAAACACAATGTCCCCTGACCTTTCCTGAACACATTACTCTGCCATGCCACCAGTCAAGGTTTCTTATGTCAGTAAAGCAAAAGGCAGGGCTGGAAGGAATAGAAACAGCCAGAATGCTTCTCATTCTCCTGCACAGCACAACCAAGCTGCACAAACTTTACTGTGTTCTAGAAGAGAAAAACTCCTCTACTTGGTAGCTTTGCTCTCTGTCCTAGCTAGAGTCACATTCCAGTTTGGGGCCAAATTCTAGATCAAAGCCCATCCATTTAACAAAGCCAATAAAGTTGGGCTGATTTTGATTATTCAACAGTTAACATTTGCCACACTCCTTCCTTCCCTCATTGTCAGGGTGCCCTCCTCTGTGCATGAGAGGGAGTATGTGATAGTGGTTAAAAGGTCACGGCCTCTGGAGCCAGGTGGCTGGGATCCATTGTCTGGCTGTGCCATTCAGCAACTATTTGACCTGGGACAACTAACTATATCTCTTAAACCTCATTTTCTGTAAAAGGTGGGTGAATACGTACATTGCAATTTGTTCCTAAGGATTGAATTTATAAAACAACTAGTGGGCTTAGAGCAAGGCTTTGCAGACCATAAGTGCTAAATACATTTAGACCATTGTTGTTGTTGTTATTATTATTTGATATTACTTGTATTGGATGCTGATATTTGGTTCACTTAACATATGTTCCAGCATTTGTTTAGTTTCCTTTTCTTTACTATTTAGACCAGAAAGTTAAACACAAATGTCATTGACTCCCTTCCAGCGAGGCTGCAGGACTGTGATCAGTTTCTTCCAGTCAATGCACCTGCATAACATGGCAACTAGTCAAAGGGAAATCAGATGCTCTGGACAGCATGGTGGAATATGGGCATCCATATGGCTGCATAGTTTCCTAAGAATGAGTATCAACTTCACGGTCATTTGCCCTAAAAGAGTTCCATGGTGTGGTTGAACATTTTTCCTGACTCCGTGAAACACAGTCTGGTTCTCTGACTTCTCTGATGTTCCATAAACTATCAACTATGCCTGAGTAAATTCATTCCTGCTTAAACTATTTGGAATGTACTCTGCTATCTGCAAGAAAAACCCTGGCTGTCACACAACATCATTAAGATTCCATGGAGCAGTATGGCCCTATATCTTATAAGTGTGATTACACTATACAGAAAAAGGACCACTCTCATGCATGTGACCAATCCTGCTCCAAACAGTTGCCAAATAGATGGATCCTTTTCCTGTAATTCTTTACGCCACGGTCAGCTTCAGACTCCCAGAGAATTAGAGACATCGGCTCCAATGATTGCAACACATCCACAGTTTTCCTCCTGTACTTGGTGCTTTTTCTATAGCCTCCCTTTCACGTTAGTAAACAAACCCAATGCCAATTTTGTGTTATTGGAAAGGCAAGAAATTTCAGTATAAACAATGTAGACAAAGTTGGTGAATTCCTGGTTTAGAGATGGTCACTTTCCAGAAATTCCAGAAACTTTCCAGAAACTTCTGGTTCCATTGCCAACCCTGCCGTTTTTTGAATGGCACTTCAAGGCTTATATTTATTTTCCATCCACTTTAATCAGTAAGGTGTCAAGATTGTTCTCAAGGAATCATGAACCAAAACTTCCCAGTTAGGTAAGGACAGAGTTCAGAACAAAACATAGGTCTTGTAGTTGCTTGTTCAGAACTGTTTTTACTACTCTTTACTATCAGTGTTAACCAAACCAGGAGTTATGCTCAGTTCAGGTATGATCTGATTGAGGAAAAGACTACCTTATGCTTTCAGTTCCTTTATATTACAGATACTAAATTATAATTGAAAGCTTTTTAATAGACTTGTCATGGTCATTGACTGAGAGCATCATAACTCTTACCCTAATACAACAGGTAGTAATGTAAGTGTTGCCACTCTGATTAATCTAATTTAATTAAATCTTGGTTATTTTTAAATACATATTTAACCATACCAGCATAGATAATAATAGCAGGACAATATTTTAGTGTGTTATTATATTTATAGCAATTACATTTAATATCAGTTGATCCGTCGGGGTATTTTATTTGTGATTTGCGATGTAAAAATCGAAAGGTTGTCTGGTGGTTAACACAAATGCATCCAGGCATTTAGAAAGTAAATTTCTTTCAAAGAGTCTCCAAGAGTCTTTTGGCATTCTCTCTGTCTGCAGTGCTCTTTCTTGTTCCCAACCTTTCCTTCCCCGCCCTCCACAGTTTCTCCCACTCTTCAAATGGGAGTTATTTTCTTCCCCACCTGGTTCTTCCTCATCACCTGGGCTGGATAAAATTGCTCCCAAAGCACTATTCCCTTAATGCATATGGAATTTATGCAATTTCTTTTCTACTTAATTTTGCTTCCCCATCAGAGCATTAACCAAATCTTAGAAGACATATATCAAGTCTCATGCTTCTGTTCTCTGGTGCCTTGGAATGTCTGGGGCTTTTCACAGAGACAATAAATATTTGATGAAGAACGAGGTCGCAAACTCAACCTCCTAAAGGGGGTGGCAAGTCAACATAACAGTGTCACGAAGCCTAATACAAGGAATACGGGTATAAACTGCTTGTACTATGACCTAGCATAAGGCTACCTACTCACATGGCCTCTAAAACGCAGTGTGGGCTTAATGAAAACAAAACAAAGCACATCTAGATGTCACGTCAAGCCCAATGCCTGCCAAATGTGTCCCTTAAATAAAACAGTCAGCCCTCTTTCCTACAGTAAACATCAGCCAAGAAAGCTAAGCCACTTTTCCTGGGGATTGAGTTAATTTTCTTTCTTCCTCTAATCTCAAGTGAGCAATGTCTGTATAGAGGTTGAAGAGTGTCATATTAGTCAGTCAATGGTTTGGTCTTATTAAAATAAAAGAAATGTTACATTATCGGGCGCCTGGGTGGCTCAGTTGGTTGGGCGTCTGCCTTCAGCTCAGGTCATGATCCCAGGGTCCTGGGATCGAGTTCCGCATCGGGCTCACTGCTCTGCGGGGAGCCTGCTTCTCCCTCTCCCACTCCCCCTGCTTGTGTTCCCTCTCTCACTGTGTCTCTCTCTGTCAAATAAATAAATAAAATCTTAAAAAAAAAAAAGAAAAAAGAAATGTTACATTATCATAGATTTATAACTTACAAAATGATTTCAACATGCATTTTTTTTTTCATGAATGAGAAAACCAAGGATGGAGAAGAGTCAATTGTCTTGCCCAGGTTCATGCACGATAGAAATGTGATGGAGATATCACTAAACCCAGAATATCTGATGTCAACCCCAGGGCTCTTGACACATTATTTCTCTCAGCACCAGAATGCTACTGTTATGTATGGGCCCAGGCTCACCACAGAAGTGAGAGGCACTTCTCATTGAGAGAGGAGCCAGTTATCTAGGGCTTGGGTTTTTCTTTACCTTTTGCGTATTTTTTTCTTTTAGTTGACATACAAGATTCCACATAGTATCACGTGCTTATTTTCCACGTAATTATCTGCTATTTTCCATTCACCATTTATGTGTACATGTTTGCAAATGATGACAATTAACATCCTCAAGACTTTATCCACTTTGCAGTGCTTATCCTAAATTCAAAGACATAAAAACACACACATACACACCATAATTTACCTTTCAGAAGAACGTCTACGTTGAATAAACCAGCAGCCAAATTGAAAATTCAAAATTGCATCTGGAGCTAATGAAAAACAAAATAATCTACAATAATGCCAGCAATGATCAATAGAATCTGTACTATTCAAGGAGTAATACACAAGTGGTTTTCACTGGCTGGGTGGGTTTTGGACATTGGTCTGCCAACCCACTTTCCTTTCTTCCATGGACTCAGGTAAACTTTTCAATTTAGGAAAGGAGTCACCATTTTGTTTTGTTTTGTTTTCCCATGCTTACTCTATTTAGTGAAAAGTTACATAAGCAAGCCTCCTCAAAATTTAACTTGCTGAGGGACTGGGGGAGGGGATCACAAGCATGACACAGAATGACTGAGAGTGTGGATATGCTGCTCTGGAGTTTCAATTTTGACAAGACAGAAAGAGAAAAAGGGGACGGGGTGGGAGTGGGGGAGAGTGGGGAGGGCAGAGAGTTTGGGGACAGCTATAGTCCTCTCAAGGTTCTGCTGTAGTGAACCATGAACACTGGGTATTGGTTATAGTTAGTGAAGAAAGACAAGGGGCAGGAGGAAGCTGAGAGAGAAGCGCAGTGTGGGCTATTTCCTTCAGGAAATTTCCACCGGTATTCACAAGTTTCATCACTCAAAATATAATTATTTCATTATTTTGGTTTGCTAGTTCTTGACAATTATATACCTGTCAGTCCTCAAAGCTGAATCAAGAAACAATAGAAAAATGGAAAGAAAGTGAATATTTTGAAGAATAATGGCTATGTCACCTCTTATTTAGGTGACCTTGACAATATGACAAAACCTTTCAAAGACCAAAATGATATCCAAACAGTTTGGTTCTGGATGTGTTAACTGTGACATTTTATTTGTTTCCATTGACGGTTGTTAAAAAAAATGGCAGAGGGGAGTCTTCAGTTAATCTCTGTGGGTTCTACAGTCTCATATAAATTTGAGGCCCAGAGACCACAGCTACTCAGGAATTTATATTTATAATTATAACTGAATACTTATGTTGAAAGAAAACTAATTTTGCATTAACATAACTTTGTAATGAGGTACTCTGAATGTCACACTCAAAAGAATCCATTGCAGATGTTGGTAACCTGTGAAAAGAAAAAGAATATAGTCATGTTTAAATCTGCCAATCACAGGTTTTTCTTTAAGACAAGTCCACTATAGAATGAGAAACTATCAAAAAAAAAATACTCTAAAGATTGCATATCTGTATGTTAATATAGTATAATAAATAGGAAAACCACCCTAATCATTTAGGGGAAACATCTGAATTATTTTATTTATGGAAAAGAGGTTTTTTAAAATGCTTATAAGAAAAATCAATATTATTCAGGTTATTAGTCTTATTACTGGGTAAGCCCTGAAATGACTATTTCACTGTCCCTGAAAAGTCAGTTATTGTAGTGATTGGTAGCATCTTATGCTAGTATTTTTAAGGGATAAACAAACAAAAAAAATTCATTATGATCTAGATGCGAGAAACTTGGTTTTGGGAATGAAATATAACTTAGGAAAAGATAAAAGAAACAAAACCGGTGGTGTGGATTTACATCAGTGATCTCTTCGCCATTCACAAATCCTATGACAATACTTTTCAGGGCAGAAGGAAACCAAACCACAAATGAAAAGTGATCCTGACACACTTTCCTTCAGGACACTGGATAGAAGCTTTCTCTGCTTTCCTCTGTGAAATGTCATCTGAGCAGAGAAGTAAAGGAAGAGGAAGACATTGGAGAGCAATGGGGAAGGAGGGAAGAAAATGAATCTGTCTGGAGAAGGAAGAAAGAAAGGGAAGGAGAATACCCTAATATAGGTTAGAGTAAAAGAGAGATAGGGAAGAAATTCATAGAGGGACATATGCCCATGAGTTAAAAAGAAAGAAAGAACTAGCCAAATGATAGGGGGGAAAAAAGGAAGAAAAGAAAAAAGAAAGAAGTAAAAGAAACATTGTTTACATTGTCTAATAAGTAGAAAGTATTATGCTATTTTTGCCACTCATAATAGAAATTAGGAAACCAAGGAAAGTTCTCTGTGAAGGTTACACTCAGCTATGTCTCAAACAGGAACTCTAAACTCAAATGATGATTTTGAGGGGGCAAATTATTTAGTGAAGGATAGAGATAAAGAAGTGACTGGAAACTTTGTGATATGTAGTGAAAGGGAAGGATCAATTTACAATTTGTGTTTACAGAATGTAGACATGTTTGTATTTACTTTGGAGTCAGTAGACAGCATGATATGTTGCATCTTGGAATACTTTTTTCCACTGGGTAAAACATGAATTTTGGGAAGTGGAATCCTATGAATAACTGCTTTATTATACCAAAGCTGAACTAAAGTCCCTTGTTGATTTATTTATCCCACCCTGAGAGGCAGCATAGAAGGAAAAAATATTTTACTTCAACATACAGTTAATCATTTCATATTTCTTTGCCAAAACAGAGGTACTTTTAGCCACAATCATGCTCACTCGTGCATCATGCTGCATTCACATGGTGGGAAAGAAAGCCCTGATATACAAACCATCAATTCATGATCCTCTTATGGACACTTTTCTATACCTTTACTAGAAACAATCCCATTTGGTTCCAAAAGTGCTAAATAAACTGTTTATTTACTTTGAAACTTTATCTTTATTATTTGGACTTGATGCTTGTCTACATTCTCACTTTCAAACTGACCAGCTGGGGAAATAAAGACATATCCCGTTCTTAACATATTTCTGGATTTGCTTAGCTTAATAAGACATTGATATCCATACTTTGAAGGCAAGCCACCTCTAGCCCATCAATTTGACTCCATGATCTTTGAACTGCCCTCTTCATCACCTTCACATTAAATGTCTGCTGGGAAGCAATGAGTTGAGTGTTAGGACCTAACCCTTGATTTCTCATAATGCTTTGGCTTAGAGTTTAATTCATGTGCGTTTCTTTGCATGTCTTAACTAGTGTATTCTATCCCCATGATTCTAACAGCAACTGCATTTGTCAAGGGCACTAATGAGCTCTATATTTTCTAATTCAATTGGCATATCTCCAGCCCCATTTTTTCGAGTAACATTTGACACAATCACTTGCTTTCCTTGAAACCATCAGCCCTTTCTACTTCCAATGTGCTTCCCACAATGGAGAGTGTGTACAGCGAGAATTATGTTTAACAGACTTCCTGGAACCCGTGATTAAAAATGGGATTTCGTTTTGAACAAATCAATGCCTTCTCATGTGAATTGAGAGGCAAAACTCAGGGGAGGGCAGAATTCCTACTGTTTTTGCTGCTTCTGCCTGGCAGGCAGAATCTTCAGAGGATTTATTTCTGCCATGGAACCACTGGTAGAGTTCTCAAAGGCCAGCCATTATATTCAAGAGTTTCAAGAGTGAGGTGTCCATTTTGTTTTCATAGAGTGTGTCAGAGAGCTTTGATTCTAGATCTGGCAGTAATAGTTTTCTGAAACATGCCAGTAGGAATGGAATTCTGTAGTCATGTTGCCTGATCTTAGAAGAGACATAGTTCCCATCGTGGCTGGTTTCCCTGTTGTAGCTTGAGAATCATTTCTAGAATTTAGAACTTAAGTCTTTCTTCAGTCACTCAAACAATTCTTAATACTCTGTAATAAAAGCCTTTCTACCCTTAAAACCATCAGTGTTTCCTACATCTCTCTCATTCTCCCTCTCTCTATCTCAGATAAGTATAAGACTGATGTATTGAAAGAACAGAGAGGAGGTGTTGAGTGTAGAGACACCACCTACTCTAGTTTGTATAGGCTCTTCTTTCAACACATCAATCTTGTTCCAACTACCAAGACATTTTTAAGCTGTTTCTTCTGTTTCCAACACTCTTCTTCCAGTTATTTCTTGTCCTTCACTCCTTCTATTTGCAGGTCTCAGTTGAAATAGCACTTTCTCAAAAAGGCCTTTCCAGACTACCAAAATATTCTGACATCCTATACATTCCCTCATTGAAAATGTAAAACCTAAAGTTATATTTACTTGTTGATTATCCCTTTTCCCTCATTATAACTTAACTGTTATAATGGCAGAGATCTTGCTTGTGTTCTTTCCCACAGATGTTAGAATAGCATAGACTCTATAGTTAGCACTGAGTAAATGTTTGCTGAGTGGAAAAAAAGATGAACGAATAAATGAATGGTTTGGGAATGTGTTTACTGTTTTCAGGAATTAAAGACTGAAGCTATGTAGATATTATTTATCACATGATTATTTTTTCTTTTACTTGAATGCACACACATATCCGTATATAAGAAACATATGGAAATTACCATTACTCTTCTTCTTTTAGATCTCTATCTCAACGTAAACCTCAGAAAAGAGAGAAAATCTTCCTTTATTTCTCAATCTTTGTACCTGTCAACTTCCAAGTCCAAGCTTTCAGACTACAAAAATTTGTTATTATTTTTAAAATAAACTTTTTCTTTTAGTGTAGTTCTAGACTTACCAAAAGTTGCAAAACTAATACATAGAATTCCTATATACTCCATGCCCAACTTCCTCTATTATTAACATCTTACATTAGAAAGGTACATTTGTTACAACTAATGAGCCAATATTGCTAAATTAACTGATGGTCATATTTATCAGATTACTTCAGTTTTTACTTACTGTCTTTTTTTCTGTTCCAGGTTCTCATCGAGGATACATTACATTTAGTAGTTGTGTCTCCTTAGGCTCCTCTTGTCTGCAAGTTTCTCAGACTTTCCTTTCTGTTCCAGGTTCTCATCGAGGATACATTACATTTAGTAGTTGTGTCTCCTTAGGCTCCTCTTGTCTGCAAGTTTCTCAGACTTTCCTTGATTTTGATGGACTTGAGAGCTTTGAGGAATACCGATCAGGTGTTTTGTAGAGTGTTCCTCAATTAGGCTTTGGCGTATGTTTTCCTCATGATGAGACTGGGCTAATGAGTTTTAGTGAAGAAGACCACAGAGCAAAAGTACCATTTTATCAAGAGTATATAAGGTCAACATGACTTACCACTGTTGATACTGAATCTGGTCACCTGACTGAAGTAGTGTTTGTCAGGTTTCTCCATGGGAAAGTTACTCTTTTCCCCCTTTCCAGATTGTACTTTCTGGAAGGAATTCACTATGCCTGGCCTGCACCACCTTGAGGACAAATTATCTATATAAATTATTTGGAATTCTTCTGCATGGCAATTTTTCTCTAATCCCCTATTAATGTAGTTACTGAATTATTTATTAATGTAAATATGGACTAATGGATATTTATTTTATACTTTGGGTGATAATCCAGTATTACTTTATTTTGTAGCTCAAATTGTTCCTGCTTTAACCATTTGGGAACTCTTTAGTTGCCAATATAGTTCCTGTGTCCCTTTAACATATTCCCATAATTAAGGGTTTTTTTTTTTTTTTTTTAATTATAACGTCCTTACTTTCTGTCACTACAAGATGCACTAAGCTCATCTTGTGTATTTCCTACACATTCCTAGAATCATTCCTTTCTCCTAGGATACTTGGTTCCTTTTATTGGAGAATGGTATTAGAAATCAAGATTTGAGCATAGTTATGCTCATTGCTACTTGGGTGTTTTTGCTTCTAAACCCTCTCAGCTGACAAAACACAGAAGTGTGTCTATGTGTGTGTGTGTGTGTGTACTAACCCATGTATATGCTCATATCTATAAAAATTTCATATGTAACAATTTATATCTCTTTGACAAAATAAGTTCCAATTGATGTCTCCAATTCCAATCCATTACCATATGAGGCATTTTATCTCCCTCTCCTTGCTGATATGTAATCTTGCAGCATCTGCTGTCAAATCAATGAGCTATTCAATTCCAGTATGTATGCATAATGGTATCAACAAGAGTACAGTGCTTAGTTTTTTGTTCATTTGTTGTTTGTTTGTTTGTTTCTTGCCTTTAGTTTCGAAGATACCACATGTTTCCAGAGTTATTTATGTTGGTGTATTCTTCTCTTACCTCTTTTAGTGAGGTTGTTTCATACATTTGTAGTATGGTTGATTATTTTGCCACATTCTACATTCTATCCACAGATACATCAACTCCTCAATATTTTTTTTTAATTTGTATACACGAGGATTCACTCTTTATACTCTGCAATTCTATGAATTTTGACAAATGCATAGTGACATGGATCCATGATTACAGTGTCATGAAGAATAATTTTAACCCCCACCCCAGATATCTCCCTTGTTTTACCTATTCCAATCTCCCCAGAACCAAACCCCTGGCAATCATTGATATATTTACTATCTCTGTAGTTTTGTTCATACAGTGTGAAGCTTTTTCATACCAGCTCCCTTCACTTAGCAACTTACCTTTATGTCTTTTCATGGCTTGACAGCCCATTTCTTTATTATCACTGAATGATATTCCATGTGTAAAGATGCCACAGTTTATCCATTCTGCTATTGAAGGACATCTTGGTTACTTCTAGTTTTTGGCAGTTATGAGAAAGCTGCTATTACATGTGCAAGTTTTCATGTGGATGGACATAAGGCCACTCCAGAGATAGCCATCAGAGATAAAGGAAAACTGCCCTTTACTTATCAAAGAAGCTCTGTAGCTTTCACCTTCTAAAAAATCTAAGTTTTCAGGTGGCAGAAATTGCTCAGTACATTTTTCTCTTTTAATTATATATATTTACTCTTTTAATTACATATATAATTCTATAAAACCTTTCCTTGGAACATATATAGTTCTGGTTTCATAAAACCTTTCATTGGAACACATATGGTTCCCTTGTTAAGACACCATTCACCCATACGAACATTCACTGATTTATTCCCTGCCAAAAGTCTGTGGGTGTTTTAACCATCATGTATCTGGCAATGTACCATAATACTTCATTCTAAAAACTGAAAGTCATTTAACATTCATGGAGATTAAAAGATAGCTGAAGATGGCAAAGCAAGACCAGAAATGTAGTTAGGTATTTAGTAGAATTTTGTGTTCCTCATTTATTACACGTCTTCAAAATAAACGTGTGGGTGGAAGAGATGTGGATGGAAGTCAACAATATTCACAAATACCAAATAACAAAAATTGAAACTACAAAGGCATATTTATATACTTTGTGTTTATATGATTCAGGGATACAATAAAGACAAAGTAATCTGAAATCTTGTTACACAGAAAAGTAAAATAGAAAATGAAAGTCCATAATCTATGAAGGAAGACAGACAAAGCCAAATATATTGAATAAAGGGAGAAACCATGGAAGGTATCGATCAAAGTGTCATAGATCAGTACATGTAGATGATTACACAAAAGAGCTGAATATTATTCACTGGTAAATCATATTGTTATAAAATCAATTTACATTTAGTTCTCTGCCACATGGTAAGATCATTCATCTTGTAACACTTCCATTTCTGAAGTCACAACTGCATGAGTGGGCAATGAAGTAGAAAGTGAAAATTTAGGCAATATGGACAGTTAATGTAATTATCTAGATAACTTGAATTAAAGATATTCAATTTCCTTCATTTTGAAAATATTTTTAGGTACAGTGAAAAGACTTCCAGACTTTCTGCATTCTTCAGGTCTTATACTTGAAGATAATTCTTTCAGACAGTTTTAATTGATACACCCATGATGGCCTTAGAGGCTACTCTTCCAAATGTTTCCTGAGCATCTGGAAATGTCTTAGTCCTTCTCACTAATTGTACTTGCCTCCTTACAGGTCTATATCGCATACTGAAGACTAAGTTCTCATGGTAGGCATTTGATACATATTTGCTGCTTCCATAAGCGTGTGGTTTAGAGTTGAAAAGACATGGAATTATAAAGACTAACTCTGCCATTTACTGTGAAAACTTAGCAAATTTAAATGAGCTTCATTAGTCTCTGTTCTTTAATAGGAATGATAGTAATTACTTCTCCTAGGATAGGTGTACAGAGTCAATGAAGTAAAATACATAGCCCAAAAAGGATAGTGTCTGGACATAGTAGTTGCTCAATAAAAATTAGTTTCCTCTAACTTTTTTTTTTCTCCAGTGCTGTAATCACTTACTTTACCCATGAAAGGAGATACATTTGTGTTAAACATATTGGTCACTGCCCAGGTGACAGAAAAGTGCTATCAAAACATGAATATTTTGTTTCATCTACTTTGTTAGAATGCAATATATTTATGGATCATTAATTTATTCAAGTTTATCAACGATTGCTCCCAAAATTCTTCCTTCCTCAGTGTTTTCTTTTAATCAATAAATAGTAACACTGTGCCTAATTACACAGAACCTTAAAAAGGAAGTCATTCTTCAAACCATCCTTGCCCATCCCCATTTTCAATTAATCACCCAATCCTGTCCATTTCACCTCTTAAATGTCTCCCATCTCTGTTTATTTTCTCCAGTTATATTGCCATCACCCTAGTCCAAGCTTCTATTAGAGTTTCTCTGAATTATAGAAATGGTTTCCTAACTAGTCTTCTTTACTCTTCTAATTTTCAATCCAGAAGCACTCTTTTTTTTTAAGATTTTTTATTTATTCATTTGAGAGAGTGAGTGAGTGAGAGCACAGCAGGGGGAGAGGAAGTGGGAGAGGGAGAAGCAGACTCCCCACTGAGCAGGGTGCCCCACACGAGGCTTGATCCCAAACCCCGGGATCATGACCTGAGCTGCAGGCAGATGCTTAACTGACTGAGTCACCCAGGCGCCCCCAAAGCACTCCTTTTAAAATGAAAATATGGCCATGTCAATCTTTATTTAAAACCTTTTTATATCTTCTTGTTGCTCTTAAAATAAAGATCATGCCCTTTGCGTGCTAATAGAAAGCACAGCAGAGTGGGAGCTCCCTTACCTGCCGATCATGTTCCATTATCTCTATCTCCTGAGACCCTGACCTTCCCCGGGCCATCCACATCAGGAGGTTTGCATATGCTGCTTTCTGTACAACACTATTTCCATCAATTCATACTTCTTTTATTCACATCTCTCCATCCTTTAGGGATCAGTGGAATTTCTTGTCTCAAGGAAACATGCTTTAACCCCAGACTATATCAGATTCCCCCAATTATGCTCTAAGCACACTTTACCATCCTCAGGACCTCCAATCTCAATTGTAATTTAATGACCACTTATGAAATTAATTGTTTGGCCCATGTGCTCTCCTTGAATAAGAGCTTTAGGAGGGCTAGGGCCAAGCCTGTCTTTTTAATGCCTGGATCTCCAGCTCTGGTTTACATAATGGAGTCTCAATAAACATACTTTTAATGAATGAATGGAAGAATAAATGAACAAATGAGAGTAATTGTAAAGAAGTCTGGGTGAGTAATTGTGCTTAATTCCAGATAAGCTTTTAAAAAGAAATATTGTCTTCAGTAAGAAAAAAAAAAGACATCAACTTTAGTTATCACAGTTGGGATATTATGTCAGTCCTCAGTGCATATCTTTTATTTATAGACTTCTTACTAGAGAAACTGCTTTTTCCAAGCTGAATTTTGAGCACAGGTACAAATTTGCTATTGATACTTGAAATCATCCTACTCTAACCCTAAGCTTTTGGATTCTAAATGATACCCACTCCAGACACCTTGAAATCTGACTGTAACATTGCTTGTGCATCACCTCGTGACCTTTGCTCAGCCAGTAAATTGAAGTTTTATGTCCCTAGATTTAAGTTGGAATAAACCGGAAAATAGAGTTTCCTTCACTATTAGTTCTAGCCCATCTAATCTTGCTCAAGGGATTCACCTCAGTTCAATTATCACATCCAGAAAAAGATATGAGTCTTAACCAATTGTTCATCATCCAACAATTTCCAATGGGGTCATTGATATCCACCAGCCAGAGCCACTGACTGCTCAACCTTACCAGAACCCAAAAGACTATAAAATACTGTGAGATGTGAATTGTGTTTTTTTCTGTTCATAATTTAACTTTTCTAGGCCTCTCAACAGTAGTG